AAAAAAAAAAAAAAAAAAAGTCCTCCAAAAAATCTGAAAAAAAAAAACTATGTTATGCAGAAACATAAACTGAACAACTTTTGCCTTGGGATGATGTCGAAATTCGTTGCCAATTTTAAAATAAAAAATAAAAATAAAACCACCCCCAATTTTTTTATTTTTTTTTCGTGTATTTAATTGCTAAAAATGGAGTTGTCCGGGCCCGGACGTCCGGGACCCCCCTGACTGTCCGCCCAGGACGTCCGGCCAGGACGTGCTGCCATCGGACAACTGGTAACATATGAAAAAAAGGAAAAACAGCAACGTTTCCCTCTCCCCATAATAGTGGTCAGATGCATTCAGGAAAGTGATCATTTGTGTATGGCCTCCATGACGTCCTTTCACGACATCATTGCTCTCTGGCATGTTTGTTTCTTTCTTTTCTTTCCTTTTCTTTATTCTGTAATGACCCGTCAAAACACAGACTGAGAACACTGCTGATTTCTGAAGTTCTGCTGATGGAATGGATGCCTTGCTGAGATTCCCGCATTCTGCTGTGTTTCTAAGTCTGTCTGTGTGTGCGTGCTTGTGACCTGCATGCCTGTCTGAGTGCTTGTTGGTATGAGTGTGTGTGGGACCCGCAAGGGTACTTGCTTGTTTGGTAGACCCGTAGGGCCGGTACTTAACTGTGGCCGTGGCATTGAGGGTTGTAGCAGGGAAAAACACTCAAGTGGCGAAGCTACCGGCCCTGAGGCCCTTGGGGTAGCGGAAAAACACTCAAGTAGGCCGGTAGGCCGATACTGCACCCCACTGCAGTTGGCGTGAGGGGATACTGGAGGCCGAGCAGAAAAAGACAAAGTTGGCATTTTTTTAGAGTCCAGTAGCGGTAGGGTAGGTCTAGGCCGGTACCAGTCCAACCAGTCTGAGTCTAGAGCCTGTACGGGTAATATCAGGGTCTGCAATGATGTTTCCCTCCGAAACGGAGGAGGTACCGGTTGCTTGGAGAGGCCGGGCGGCCTGGAAGTCACCGCCCTGGAGGCAAGTAGGCCGCTATATCAAGAGGCAGGGCAGAGAGCCCGACCTCATTCTTCAGTGTGCGAGTTGGGTGTCACGCTGCTGGAGCGCTGGCTGGAGTAGCGCTGGGCACTACAGCGCTGCTGGGAGGAAGAAGCCGGGAGCTTCCACCTTGGCTATGGTGGAGCTCTACCGGTAGGAGGAGGAGGGAGAAGGGGACCAAGGAGGAGAGTGGCGAGGTACTTACTGGCTATGGTAGACACCATCTTCATCTCCTTGCTAGGCGCTGCATCAGGAAGGCCCCAGTGGGGGTAGTGCCGCACCCAGGAAGCTCGGGACAGAGTCAGGCATGGTGGCTGAGTGAGCAGCGGCATAGCTGCATGGTGATGACCTTGAAGTGGAGCAGCAGCATAGGAGCTTTGAGTGGTCCTTTGGACAGGAGGCTGAAGTCTCAGTAGTCCACCATAGCCTCGGCCTGTATGTAGAGGAAGAAGAAGGGTTGCCATGGCTATGGTGGACCTCATCTTATGCCTGCAGTAGAAGTGGGATTCGGACATTGATTCTGGTTCAGCTGTTCAACATTATTATTGTTTATTCATTGTCTGAATAAGAGAGGAGGAGATAAAGGGGAGGAGGTTGTTGACCGAAGAAGAAGAGCTTTGTCTTTGGTCTATGCTGGAGTACATCATCTCTTTCTTCTTTCTTGATTCTTCTTCTTCTTCTTTCCCTCTTTCTCCTCTCAAGTTCTTTCATTTCTTTTGCAATTGGACAGCATTGGGCTCAAGTTCATTCATTTCTTTTCGCAATTGGACAACATTGTACTTTCTGATGATTGTGGACTTCGAAATTGGCCAGGATCGTAACAATTCCCTTCAGGCAGACCGCCTGCACCAATGCCACTTCCGAAATTCCCACTGCGCAGTGGGCAAGTAGATTCGGGATTTTAGGTGCGGGTGTATTGGTGGTTTAAAAGGGTACATTTGGACTCATCTCATTTATTTTTATCTTGAAATTAACAAGGAATTTCGAGGTGGCCCTCAGCCAAAAGTCGATTCTATTGCAATTTTACACAACATTTTTTTTTCGGATTTTTTAAATTTCTTTTCATATTTTTTAAAATATTATGCTTTGGGATCGCCCGGGACACTGCCCGGGCCACGCCCAGGCGGGTACCCGGGCGACCTTCCCCAGCCAGGCCGCCAGGGGACTAGCACAGGAAAAAATCAGATATTTAAAAGAAGCATATCTTTGGATGTGCATTCAGACTCGACTTATTCACACTTGTCATGCATGCAAACAGCGATACAGCAAACTGGCGACATGCGCCCACACAGTACTCAAAGATATCGTAACCAGATAAGAGTTCTCTTCCAACTGGCTATGGCGGCTGTGCGCCCACACAACTCACTGTTCGCACTCTGGATCACCCTGGATGTCCCACACGCAACACTCCGAACACACACACAGTACACACACACTGCACCCTACACTAAGCTATGGCAGCTCTGGCTGCCGCTACCTATCGCTATGGCTACCCTGCTTCACTCTCGCCCACTTCGTCTTCGGGCCCCCTGCAGACCTCCTTGCACTAGACGCTGAGGCAGCGCTACCGCATGGCTTCCGCATGAACGAATGAATGGCTGGGCGCAGCCCCTTGATTTATACTTCTGTGCTGCGTTGGTCTGCCCTGTACCCCTGGCCCATCGTGCACACAGTCCCAGACAGTACTTGCTGGACTGGACCGGACTGGGTGGACTGGGACTGCTGACTGTACTAGGTGGACTCCCACCACTTGCCCACTTGCCTCTGCTGAACGCAGGCTCACTCCRAAAGGCCACTTCYAGAAACCTCTAACTTGGCCTTTCGGTACTGTAGCAGCTACRACTTTGCCCTTTCAGGTAAGTAGCAGYTAYGACCYTGACMCTTCAGGCAGTCTACAGCTACGACCTCTAAACTGTCTAGACTCCTACCCTACAGGTCTACAGTTCAAATCCCTTCTACCCTGTGACCTACGGAAACCTACCTACCACTGGCGGTCCTACAGGTAACAGGTTCAAATCTGCGGGTTGACGCCGATAGTGTACATAGGTAAGATGGGGAACTAGGGATCGAGCCCTGGGGGCTGCATCAGCTACTGCGAACTGGTGAATACCGTTTCATTCCCGCCGGCCTAAATTCGAGGTCCTCCGAGAAAATTTCAGTCCAAGGCAGGACCTTTACCTCTCTGTTGTCTTTTGTAGGCCCGGACTATATCAGGAGCTGTCTCTAGAAGTTCAGATCTYGTAAACCAGCGGTCGTCTTCCGGTTCTTGATAACTAAAATGAACCTTGTACTGTTTCTGTGGACGACCTCTACCTCCAGTCCTGAACACATCTTCAGCCATTATGCCATCGATGTCATACCTTCCCTCCATATCGGGCGGAATCATACACCTACGGGATGGAAACTGATCACTTGTTTGACAAGGTAACAACTTCGATGCATGAAAAACTGGGTAAGTGTGAAGGTGTGCTGGGAGCTCTATGGTTTAGGACGGTCCATCTTCGCCCCCCTTGACTTCTAAGACTGGCCACGGTCCTCTATAGGTGGGTAGTAACTTCTGCGAGATGTTCTCCTCAGGTGCAAACTCTCTAGAACTGACCCAGACTAAGTCACCTACCTGGAACTGTGAGGGGCGACGATGCTTGTTAGCCTGCTCTATCATCCTGTGCTGGGCCTTCCTGAGGTTTTCTACAACAGTAGCTAGTTCCTTCTCGTGTTGCACAGCAAACTCCCTGGTCCCGGGCGGCAATCTGTGAATCTGATCCCGGTTGAGTCCTTCAAACGGTCTACGGGGCCTAAAGAGCTTGTGCAGTTCGTTGGGAGTGCGGCAGGTGGACAGATGCACGCTGTTGTTGTACACACTAGCTACTTTGGGCAGCATCTCATCCCAGTTAATCTGATCTGGCCTAATATACATGCGCAGAACTTGCTGTAGGATCTTGTTCATTTGCTCAGTCTGACCGTTAGTCTCAAGATGACGGCCGGACGACATCAACAACTTGGATCCATATACTCCCATGAGTTCTAGTAAAGCGACTATCTCTATCGCTAACTATAGATAGTGGGATTCCATTCTCACTCACCCAACAGTCAAAAAACCTCTTTATGACTAAATCAGTACGTGCCTCTGAAGGCAAAGGAACAAAAACTGTGTACTTTAATAAAACAGTCAACTATGACCATGACTTGGCTCTTGCCATGCCTGCTCTCGACTTGAGTATCCATAAAGTCTATGGATACTGAGTCTCCTGGCTGATCTGGAATGGGCAAGGGTCTGAGAAGACTTAATGGGGCACGCGTAGAAGTCTTGTTACGCTGGCAGACCTTACAACTACGAACATACTCTACACAGTCATTCTTCATCCCCGGCCAGGTATATGCGCGCATCAGATTGGCTAAAGTCTTCTGCCAACCAAAATGACCCTCTGTGTCGTGGCATTCTCCCAAAATCAGACTACGGATCTCTTCACTATTGGGAATGCACAGGCAGTCAAATACATTAGTCTTCTAAAAAAGCAGCCCCTCAGTAGTGCGGTAGTTTGGCTCAGTCTCTGGGACCTCCTTGACCCTCTTGAGAAGGTCACTGTAGATAGGGTTCTGCGCATAAGCTTCTCTAATCTTCTTCTGCAGGTCCTTCCCTATGTCTAGGTAATGCACTATTGCCCCAAAGTAATCAGCCCTCCTGCTGAGCGCATCCGCAACTACATTATACTTTCCCTTAACTGGCTTGAGCTCAAGGTCATACGGATCTATCTCTGCGGCCCACCTAGTAAACTTAGGTGTCATCTTGGCCTGCGTTTTTAACCATCTTAACGTCTCATGATCGGAATAGACTTTGAAGTGCCTCCCAAGCAAGTAGTGCTTCCAATGTTCTAAGGCTTGCCGGAGAGCGTAGAGTTCCCTCTCATAGGTAGATGTCGTGACCTTCTCTGAAGGCATCCTGGCGGACATGAACTCTACGGGTCTATAACCATTGCCATCGTCTTGCTGCAACACCGCGCCTATGCCGTATTGACTAGCATCGGTCGTGACGACAAAAGGCAAGGACGGATCGGCGACTTTAAGGACTGGATACTCTATCAATGCCTGCTTCAACTTCTTCATGGCAAACGTACAGTCCTTGTCCCACTTCCAGATGGTCTCCTTTCTCAACAGTCTGCAAAGGGGCGCAGCGATGGTGGAGAAGTTCCTCACGAACTTCCTATAGTAATTAGCTAAGCCCAAGAACGAGCGCAACTCTGTCAGCGTACGTGGCGTGGGCCAATCTCTAATCGCTGCGATTTTACAATCTTCTGGTTTTTTGCGATTTTACAATCTTGTGGTTTAACGCCGTCTCCGTCTAAGACGTGGCCTAGGTATAAAACCTGGGTCTTTGCCCAATTGCACTTCTTTGCATTGATCTTGAAGTTAGCTTCCCTCAGCTTCTCCAAGACTTGCCTGAGATGACCCTGTTGTTCTTGGAGGGTCTTGCTAAACACTAAGATATCGTCTAAGTAGACAACAACAAACCTATCTAACCAAGGCCTAAGCAAATCGTTCATACAACGCTGGAACGTAGCTGGCGCATTGGTTAGTCCAAAGGGCATCACTATGAACTCATAATGCCCATATCTAGTCCGGAAGGTGGTCTTATACTGATCATCAGGATGCACCTCTATCTGATGATATCCAGACTTCAAATCTATCTCGGAGAAATACTTCGCCCCATGCACTCAATCTAAGAGATCGTCTATCCTAGGCAGTGGCTCGGCATTCTACACTGTAATAGCATTCAGACCCCTATAGTCTATACACATTCTCAGCTCTCCCTCTTTCTTAGGAACAAAGAGAACAGGTGCTCCAAAGGGAGACAAACTGGGCCTAATCCAACCCTTCTCGAGGAGTTCGTCTAATTGCTTGCGAAGCTCCTCTAACTCCCGTGGGGACATCCTATACACAACACCCTTAGGAGTTCTACTGCCAGGCTCTATCTCGATACGGTGCTGGATGGGCCGCGGTACTACTCCAGTTGGCAGCTCAGTTATATCCTTGAACTCCTCCAGCAGCTTGGCAATCACAGTGTCTATCGGCTTTTCGTCCGCAGGGTCAGTTACTGGCCTAACATAGGCAACAAAGACCTGTTCCTTTAGTTGCTCCTTCTTCACTAATCTAGCGAATGCAGGCGCACTAAGGCAACAATGTGCCAAGAAATTCTCTACTCCTGACACATGGAACAGGCGGGCAGTCTTGGCCTCGCCTGAAGAACTAGGGAGCCTACACTCGTGCTCCTTCAAATGGAGCGTGGCCCCGGCTGCCTCTCCCCAATCCATTCCCAGAACAATATCAAATGGGAGGCTGTCTTCTACGAGGAGGGTCAGGGAGTGGAGGACCTTCTCCACTTTCCCATCCTTCTCTAGGCGGAAATACGCCTGGACTCCCTCTAGGTACTCCTCTACAACCATGGTCGATTGTCCGCGAGGATACTAACTATAGGGTCTGCTAGCTTTTGGACTTTAAGTCTCAGCTTCAACTTCTGCAGCGCTTTCCTACTAATATAGTTGCGGGTGGCCCCTGAGTCTACTAGGGCCCCTACTCTGCCTCTAAAAATCTCTGTATCGACTAATATAAGCTGCCCTTTATTCTCCTTTCTCATCTTGGCCCAGGCGGGCATCCTCTCCAACTCTTCGGCCACGCCTATGAGGGAGGTGTCTAGAGAGACTCTAACACAAGCAGTCTCTGGACAGCCATCTAGACACCGGCCTGCAACCTCTGCCATAGGCACATGTGGTGTTGGAGTCTCCTGCCGGCTAGCGCTATGTTCCCCACATGGCCTAGTGGTAGGGGCAGTTGCTGCCCCTACCGGCGGCTGCCTTTTGGCCCTTGAGCAGTAGTTCGGGTCTCTCGATACTTAGGATAATATTTGATGATATGGCCCGGGTCACCGCAGAAAATGCATTGGCCCCGGTCCAAACCCAAAGTTTCCCAAGGCCTACCCTGCGGTAGCCCTGGGTGCCATCCTCCTACACTATAAGGAGACTTGTTCCTAGGACGGTTTTGCGGGGGACCTTGACCCCTTCCTCCCGCTTGGCGGTTTCCTGCTCTGCCGCCAACCCTCTGATCGCCCTGAAATCGACTCCCTGAGGCCCGGCCCCCTTGGCCCTGGCCTCGTCCTCCCCCTTGCGGCCTCCCTCCGGCCGCGACAGCAGCGTAAGATCTCCCCTGGCCCACACCGTTGTCCTCTTCCTCCAACCCCCACTCAATCTGATCGTAGGGGATCTCGTCCACACTACCCTCATGTAAGGTTAGGACGAGACTATCCTTAGTCTTTACTTGCCCTGAGATAGTGTGGCCCTTCCACTTCTTTCCCTTGTCTAAGTCCTTGTGCCAGAAAGTGGAAACTGACACAGACTTCGCCTCGAACGCGACCACCTCCCTGCTAAGTGCATCATAGGTCATAGCAGGGTCCTGGCTCTTCGTAAAGAAGTGGCCCCGCAGCCACTCGGGCATAGCCCGGTAGAAGAGGTTGACCAACTGGGTCTCAGTGACCCCATGGTCATGAACAGCCACTAGCTCGTCCATTGTGCCTTTGAGTGCCTTGGCACTCTTCCATTGGCGCGAGTGGATGGTCTGAAGCCTATCGGAGGCTTTGACACTTTGAGCGACATCTGCGAATCGCTCGCGCAGCATTTTCATAAAGTCAACGAGAGGGGTGAATGACGAGTACGCGACTGCATCATCATTGCAGTTGGCAGCGCGGACTAGGGACGTTGCAAAACTGGCAGCCTCATCTCTAAGCGCGTGGATGGCGAACAAGACATGCTGATCTGGGGAGACCTGTTGCAGGTGGACATAAGTCTTAACGTTGGTCTCCCAGTTGTCAAAGTTCTCTTCCCTTTTTCCACTATAGGAATCAGGGAATTTGACTTTGACCGACTCCCTGCGAGGACGAGCCTCCTCCTCCTTGGGAGTTCCCACCTTGATGCCTTCGATGGCGCCGACACAAAAACGCTAAGTCTTCTCGAGGCCGTGACTCACCTCGAACCCCACAGCGCCTACTAACTCGCGAGCAAAGTCTTGTAATCCCATTCGCATCGACCGCACCGATATATCCTGGCTGCGACTAAACTTATAGTGTTGTTCTTGCACTCTAGCTAGCCGCTCGACGCTCTGGGCGATGATCTCCACTTTGCGTTGGAGATCTACTTGCGAAGTCAATTGCGTCGTTAGAGTCGTCCTCACCTCCGCCAGTTCTTGCATTGCTGCATTCGCCGCCTCCACTCTCCTCTTCTTCTCCCTCATCATTGCGAGTTTCCACTCTATCCTCTGTTCATCCTCCACTGCCCGCCGCGCTAGAACATCTTCTTCTGCTTCCCATCTTTTCATAGCGGCTTCCTGCTCATCCTTGGGGATGTACATCGTGACCTCTTCTTCTTCACCCTGGGATAAGTTGGCGACCCACTCCGAAATCCGTTTCTCCATCTCTTCGTCTTTGCTGCCACTGTGCTGCCCACTCCTTTGTAGTGGTGGTCCTTCCTCTTCTTCCTCATCCACCTCTTTCAACTTCTCCTCTTCTTCTTTCTTTGATCTCTCCTTTTCTCTGGCCATCTCCTCCTCAATCTTTTTCAACTTGGCCGCCTGCTCCGCCTGCAGGGCCTTCTTCTTGGCCTCCTTCTCCTTCCTCTCCTGCACGATGGCGGCCATCTTCTCCTCCTCCTCCTTCCTGTAAGGTTGGGTGGAAGTACCACCCCGAGTCCCTACTCTACACGTAAAAGTGGGCTAGAAGGCAGAGGAAAGAGGAGACGCCAGAGGGTCCCCCAGAGGGAGAACCCCACAAGCAACCCATACATCGGATAGTCGTCCATCGTGGTGTCAGGTGCACAACAAAGTCCCACTGCTCACCACTTAGACCTACCCGTACACTGACCTACTGACTGACTCTCTAGGGTCACTACTCAAAACTACTCTAAGGCTGTCACTACTGACTCTCTAAGGCTGTCACTACTGTCACTACTTTCGGCTTCCCAAGCTCTCATAGCGGCTTCCTGATCATCTTTAGAGATATACATCGCCACCTCTTCTTCTTVRCCCAGGGATAAGTTGGCGACCCACTCGGAGATTCGCTTCTCCATCTCTTCATCCCTACTACCACTGTACTGCACCCTCTTCCTCTGCAATGGCGTTTCATCTTCTTCCTCCTCTTCCACCTCTTTCAACTTCTCTTCTTCTTCTTTCTGTRTCCTCTCCTTCTCTTTGGCCATCTCTTCCTCATCTTCTTCAGTTTGGCCGCCAGCTCCTCCTTCAAGGCCTTCTTCTTGGCCTCCTTCTCCTTCTTCTCCTGCAGAATGGCGGCCATCTTCTCCTCCTCCTCCTTCGTGTAGGGGTTGGTGGAAGTCCCACCACGAGTGGGCCCTACTCTACACGTGAAAGTGGGCCAAAAGCCCAGAGGAAAGAGGAGACGCCAAAGCGTCCCCCA